TCAAAGCGAGAATAAGAAAAACCGCTAACGGATCATGAACTGGTGGCCCAAGGGTTATGTTATGTTGAACACGATATGATTCTGCATAAAACATTGCAATATCGTAGAACAATTTCCTTATAGAAGAGTCCTTTTTTGGATTTGTTACGTCATATATATTTTTTCTTACTTCCATAGTAGCGACTGCCTTGTGGGTAATATTTAATCCAGCCAATATCGTTTTGCCGCTCAACTCTTCATCATTCAAAACCTTAGAAGCTGCAAGTGGATCGCAATGAACATTAAACTCTGCATATTTGGTAGCGTTACCTCTATTTAAGGCACCACCCATAATAGACACAAACCTAATCTTAGACTTTACTTCTGGGTAGGTCTCTATCAAAATAGCCATATTAGTCAAAGTCCCGGTACAAATAACACATATCCTACCTGCGTGTTCCAAAATGGCCGATCTCATAGCTTGCAAGTACGTTTGATCTTTTGATTCTTGAATTCTAGGTGTCTTCGGTAACTTTGCCCCACCAATACCAGTGGGTCCGTGTATTTCTGGTGCAAATTTAACTGGCTTCACTAATGGTTTGTTTTCCCCGGAGTAAACCTTTATCTGATCTTGTTCGGACCCTAATACATCTAATAACCCTAATGCATTGTGAGTTGTACTTGAATTTGGGGCATTTCCATATACCGTAGAAATGCCGAGTAAATCAAATTTTGGGTGAAATAAGGCTAACAAAATGGCAAAAGCATCATCGTTACCAGGGTCACAGTCTAGCCATATGGGAATAGAATCAGCAATAGTCATAGTAGCTTCTACTAGCAGATTAGTAAAGAAAGGAAAGATAAAATGACTGATGATCTTCTACCATCAGAACTTATGCCGCGTAAAAAAGGGCTCCACGGGGTCTCAAATGTAACGTTACATTCAATAACACTACGTTATATTTCTAGTACTTACTTTTATATATCAGACCCTTCCTCTTCAACTGGAACTACAAAAGCGCCGGCTAAGAATAAAGCAGGCTCGTGGATATTATGATGTTGATAACTCAAAACACCGACTCCACCAGCATCCAACATGAATTGAGGATTGACGTTAATGTCCTTACCCACCCATCTAGCAGCAAAACATCTCAAAATATGACCATGGCCAACAACAATGATATCGCAAGGAACATTGTCTTGTATGGCTTTTTCGTGGATAGCTCTGATGTTAATGATAACCTTGTCCAATCTGGCTGAAACTTGCTCGTGCGTTTCACCATTTTCACATCCATCCCTCCAGATATTCCATTCTTCGCCTTCAGGCAAATCCTTATCCAATCCCCTCTTCTTTCTTAAGTCAATGATCTGGGACGTCAATAATCCTTCGTAATCACCGTACTCCCATTCTCTCAAGTTATCGTCCTCGGTGGTGAGCAACTTGGCCTTTGCCATATCGTTTAAGCCTTCAAGTAACAATTCAACCGTTTGCTTAGCACGCAATCTTGGAGATGTGAAAACATTCTTCAAATTCTCCGGTTTGATCAATTGGAATGGGCTAGGTCCAATTAAATGCTTACCAGTATTACGCATCTGTTTGACTCCGAAATCCGTCAATGATAAGTCTGTAATGGACGTATATTGGCCAGATTTAGACCATTCGGTTTGGCCGTGACGAATAAATATGACTCTTGGAGTTGGGGCTTTAGATGGACTCATTTTTACTAGTATATTATCTCTCTATATGACCGTTATACCTTGTTTGATAAAAAGTGTTGATAATTATGACCCTTTTGTGAAATTTTCATGTGCAGGATATATTTAAAATTTTCTTCCTCTGATTTAATCAGTATATGATAGGGTCAACATATCAAAACTGAATAGTATATTAAGATCACATTAATAAGAAATGCCTAGCAAAGCACATACGGAAATTACAGAAAAAATCTTATCTTTATTAAGAACCTTACCAAAAGATAGAATAAAGCATTATGCATCATTTAAAGATACCCAAATAGAACGTTTTTCAAGTGACCTGGTGAAAGATATTTCAGAAAAGGACTTAAAATTGCAATATATTTCGTTAAGGGATTTGGTGAATGATAAATATAAGAACTACTACAAGTTGGATGACAAATTATTGAAACCAAAGGGTAATCCAGATTATTACAATAGAATTTTAAGTGAAATAAAAGGTGAAAAGAAGGAAACATTTTTCACTGCCATCAGAACTGTTGTCTTTGGGAAATAGATTTCGTGGGAGTATTTGCAGTTTTCTTTGGGGTTTGCTGTAATGTTGTTCTTTTGGAGTTCGTTGTGTAAATAGTAAAACTTAAAACAGACATGTATTGTATTTAAGATTGAATTGGTGGCCTGCTGACATGGCATATTTGCATAAATGGTTGAAATTCATTTGTAATCTACGTACATCCGTACAATGTACTGGTTACACAGACCATGGTTTTCAATGAGTCAGTCAAAACGCATGTCTCAATGATATAATGAGTTGAAGAATTTAATTTAGTATTAAGCTGGCCAAAGTGCCACCTTTAGCATTTGTATAGTCCATAGTATTTTCAATAAATAAATCTAATTAATTTACAAGCACCATTCTTATATGATTAGTTGTTCAAGAAGACATTGGATATTTGACCACGTAAAGATGCGAATTTTCAAAAGCCGAAGTGTTAGATTTCATTTATTCTCTTGGGGTTGTATTATCAGATAAGATAAACAAGAGGATGGCAATTATAGATACTATTCAAAGATCTAGGCCTGTCCAGCTCGGTATAGTATGCTTCTTCTTGATAGCATGGTACTTTTTACGAGGATCTTCAGACAGCTATACGCCAGAGGAATTGAATTCCCTTTTACAAAATAAGGATGAAAGTACTGTTATGATTAAGAAAACTGAATTGACTACTCACGGCTTAAAATCTCCTTTCATAGATCAATCGACTTTCAAACCAAAAAATTGGTATTTAGCCGGTAATACGCTTATTAAAAATGATGCTTATATTAGATTAACATCGGATAGACAGCACCAAGTTGGTAGTATGTTTTCGAACTTACCTATCCAGGCTGAATCGTTTGAAATGGAATTGACTTTCCATATGCACAGCAAGTCATCAAATTTGTTTGGTGATGGATTTGCCATGTGGATAATCGATCGCAAGTCAGATATAGGAGATGTCTTCGGTGCACAAAATTACTTCAATGGAATGGGTATATTCGTTGACACGTACAAGAACGGTAAAAGGGGACATTTTCCGTATGTAAATTTGATGTTGGGTGATGGACATACTGGCTATAATAAAGATACAGATGGGTACGAAACAAGATTGGCTGGATGTACAGCTACTGGTCTCATGAATCCAGCTAGTGAATTGACCAAAGCACGTATTGTTTATATTAAGGATGGGTATTTTTCAATAGATTTTAACTACAAAAATAAGCCTGAAGACTGGAAAAACTGTGTTACCTTGACAGATATCAAATTGCCCCAAGTTAAGTATTTGGGTTTCACCGCTGAGACGGGTGATCTTTCTGAAAATGTGGATATTATTGAAAATAAGATGTATGCGTTGTACAAACCAGATGGTTCATTCATTGAATCTGTTGATGAACTAGAGACCTTGATGCAAGCACAAAGTGATAATGAAGAAGAGTTACAGCAAGCGGTTGAAGAAATGAAAAAGGGTGGAAGACATAGAAAAATAAAGAAGAAGTCAGCAACGAGACGCAAATCATTAAGCAGATTAAAGAATTCTGAAAAGAAAATAAAAGAACGTGAACGTAAGTTGCGGTTAGAAAAATACGGGGATGAAAATGCTACATTATTCAGAAGATTATTGAAAGGAATTCTATATTGTTTAAAATTAATAACGTATACATTGTTGATAGGTGGTTTAATATGGATAGGAAATATAATTTACCGAGTCCAAGTACAGAAAAAGAAACTGAAAGTTACTGGTCTATTAGATTAATTTTATTTGTTTGCTATATACATAGAATCAAAGTAGTTCGTAATAATACATAAAGCTATTGGAAATTAAAAAGTATTATATTCTTTGATGTATTGCTTAGAGAAGATTTTCATTCTTCCTATTGAATTATATCTGCAGTCTTGTCCTGTAATGTAAGGCGATAAGTGTCCTTCGAGATACCAAATGCTTTGTAGGCACCAGTGGATGTCACGTAAGAAAAAAACCCGGGTTGGGAGCCTGAATCATCTTCAAATGAATTGAGAGTAAAGGAAGATGAAATCTTTTGGAAAGATTGGTTTTCTAATGTCTTGATGAGTTGCTTATCAAAGGAGAAAGCATCAGCTAATAAAGTTATCTTTGCATTCTTACTTGGCTTGTATTCCTTGAGAAGCTCACGGGCTCTTTCATAAGACCATTCAAGTAATAAAACGTCAAAATCGACTTTAGCGAACGCTTTTCTAACGTGTAACCCGGTAATCTTGATAACGAAATTCGATTCGGACGATTCGTCTAGCAAGGGTTTCAAAGTAATAATAGCAATTGGTGAATCACGGTATATAACAAGGTGAGTATTCTCTCCATTTTTCAAGAAAACAGTGTCTTTAGATGTCAAATTACGCTTCTGCTTTAATAACGCCGATTGTGACAACTTGGCGTATTCCCTCAAATTAAATCCAAAAATCTTTTCCATGTACTTTAATTGTGGTAATTTTACCGAAATATCTTTGAAAACATCACTAACAAAATGTGCAACAATACCTACTATACCAAAAACACAAACAAGCCATGGAAGAACCCCCATAACTTGAAATTGAAAATCACGGCTTTTACTGAAAAAGCTGAAAAATTCACCAATACTTTCTGAAACAGAAATATAATCGTATAATCTATAATATGTGAAAATCGACGTTGATATTATCAAGAATGTAGTGGAAAATGTATGCCAGAAAACATATCTATTACATCTACCTTGCAACTGACTATAATAATCACCGTGTAATATTAATGCGGCTTGTGATAATTCTGGAGTCAACGATGTCTTTCCCAAAGTAGGTGGGACTTTGTCACTCAATGGTTCATTTAAGTTAACGTCCTTCTGAATAGCCATTGTGATATATCTTAACTATAGAAATACGATAAAATACTAGGTGAAATTTATGCCAACTTTTATACCCTTCTAATTTTTTATATTAGAATTAATGCACGTGGGAACTTTCTTCTTTGGGAATCTATGGGTGCAAATTTTCCACTTTTATAATATACCTTAAACTTGCATACCTATAGAGTTCTCATGGGCTTGAATTAGCTTGTTGGGGATACTTCTGAGCTTATTAATTGTTTGCTGTAATAGAAAAAATATAAAAAATTTCATTGAAGATCTACGTATGCTAAATGAGAGACAGATGTAAAATGTCTCAACCTTAAGCTTGACCTTTGGAGTTTAATTGAACAGTTTTGTAGTTAAGAAAGTCTTGTTTAGTATTAAATCGATACATCATATGACGATCAGGAAGAAAATTTTGAGAAATACAAATTTACTCTCTTAACATGATAGAAGAGAATCTCATTATGAGCTGATAAGTTGAAGAATAGAATTTACGAGGAAAGCGACACATTGCAGGCGGTTTGAAAAAAAGGATACAAAATAGAAAAAAAAAGTTAAAGCTAGCGCCGCCCGGTTTCGATCCGGGGACATCAGGGTTATGAGCCCTGCGCGCTTCCACTGCGCCACGGCGCTTTAACTTGTGTATATTATAATTTGTTGGTTGACTATACGGTAGTTCACTTGTAAATTTGTTCCAGCTTACACCAGCTTTAACTCTTGCACATGAAATATTTTACGATCTATATCCTTCAAGTAATCTTTCTTTTCCCTAGCCTTAACTTTTTGGTTCTAAATGTTTCCATCTATCCTAGGTCAGACACTTGTCCTATTTGGATATTGGATAAATGCTTTTATATATCGTTCTCTCATCCTATTCATAATATCACATAGCTAAGAATCAAGAGTTTAAAAAGGGCAGAAATTCATATATATATATATCTATTTGAATGGTACTTTTTAAATTGCTTCTTTTATGACTATATGACTATTTCTGTTCTCAATATAATTTTGCAATTCCTTGTCAAAAGTCATAAAATTTCAAAAACCCAATAAAACAAACAATATAAAAAAGTAAATAAATAAATCCTAAAAAAATTCGGATACTTACACCTAAGTTACATACATAACATATGTACTATGTTTCTCTATTAATATGCCTATTAACCCAATAGAAGTATCAGTTTACCATTGGAACGCATATATCATAATCGTACATGATTATTCTTAATACTTTAAAAGACAAGAAATTTTTACTCTCTATTAATCTCAAAGAGAAAGAAGACCCATTACACCCAGTTCATTACTAGCTTTAGCTCAGTATAGATCTGTCGTAGAAGGTATTCAAATTTACTACGAAAATTTTGCAATCTTTGCCCTTCGTGCGCAAACCATACATAAAATATGAGTATTAAATAACTACCTTACCAAGTAGTTGGATCATTATAGCTTCCTAGAATACCCCTAATACCAATGGCATCAACAGATGATGATTCAACGTACATACCCATACCACATTATCCACCGTTTAAGTTGAGATCTTCACTTATAGACAAGGATCCTGTAATATGGGTGCATTTATTGGAAGCATATATTAAATTATTCAAATACTTATTAAATCCAGACAGCCATACCCTGAAGTTGTCGGTAAAGTCTCAGCAACAATTACAGTTGTTTTTGAAAATATTTCTCTTCGAGACTGCAGAAGAGACAACGAAGATTTTCTCCTTGGGAGCTATCAATCCTGATATTAAAACCAATACGGCAATATTACGAACATGCGTTTTCCAGCTCATCAAGAATTATAGCATTGTGAAATTATCTTTAACAGGAGAGGCAATTTGGAATTTTGTTACTATATATGTAAAAGACAATAGTACAATTGTACGTGGATTAGTTGACGGTACATATAAATCAAAATTTAATGATAACAAGAAATCTGGTAATATAAGTTGTATTGGCCAAATACATAAGCACTTGGAAAGCTTGATTAGCAATGGAAAAATTCAAGACCGAGAATTAAATACATTATCTTTCTTGTTAGGTCAACATGCAAGTTCAGCTACTAAATTAAAGACGTACACTGTCACTGGAGCATCATCAAATAACAGCAGGAATATTAATAAAAAACTGACAAGCTCTTTAGCATTTGCTGAAGCTTTTGTTAGTACTGGATGGATAGAGATGTTGGAAAGATTGTATGTTAATGGTAAGAGTGTGCATGCGGAACAGATTAAGGAAATTATGATAATCTCATTAATATCCTTATCTACTGCGAAATTGGCGAAATTGGCAATGGAGTTGGGTGTAAATAATACTGATTCATTAGTATTATACCCATTATTTAGTACTATTATTATCTCAGATGCATACAAGGAGTTGGCACCAGGGTTGGAAGAAAGATTGACATTTTTAAGAAACATTTCATTCGAAAATAAATCAGTAATAAAGGATGACATACCTATTAAGGAGGAAAATATAGAACTATTAGCCGACTTAATACCACAACTCACAAGGGGACAAGCAATCACAATTTTAAAAGAAAACAATGATGACGTAGAACAGGTTACCAATATATTGTTCGAAAACCCAGACTTAATATCTAGCATTGAGGAATATGAAGAGAATAAGAAACCAAAGCACATCAATTCTGAATCGAAGACGGAATCTAAAAGACCAGAGGGTCAGGATGAACCAGTAAAGAGGTCAATATACGATGGTGATAAAATTTCTAATTTAGATTTTTCAGAAGGAACTGTCATATACGGCAAGAAAGGACAAGCAACAAACAATGAACCAGCTACTGAGACCATGAAGAAAAAGACATTAACTGCTGCATTGAGATTGATGTATGAAAGTGATGAAGATGAACCTGACGATACATACGAAGAGCAAGAGAAGACGAGTGGTTTAGCAGCTGGTGAAAACAACAAGATATCCAAACGTAAGACTAATAAAAACCGATTAGCAGTTTTTGATGAAGACGATGGGTCAGGCGCAGATCGCGACACACCAATGACTCCAGACAGAAGTGTTTCTAGCAGTCCAATGCCCGCTTCTGTAGACTCTATTGAGAAATACCTCTTTTCAATATTCAAGACTAAGGGTGCTGAAAAATTTGACAAGAAGGATAGAAAATCGTCCGATAGACAAAATATAAAAAAATCCACTAATTGGTCGGATGAACAAATCGAGGGTTGGCTCAGAATGTTGTTAAAATCCCCTAGAAGATTTAAAATTCTTGAAGAAGATTATCTCTATGGGGGTAATCCAAATAGGCAGCCTGCTAGAAGGAATAATGATGGAGACCAGACTACCGAGTCTAGCAATAAAGGGAATAAACCCAAATCAAAAGAGCAAGCAAAGCGCTCATTTGCTAAGAACGAGAAAAATAAGGCAAGTAAGGCTAACCATAACAGAAAGAGTGGTCATAGTAAGAAAACTAACCGTGAATTGGCGGGAATGCAGTAGTCCATTTTGTATAGATTTTATTTAGGTAACTTTTAGATACGCGAGGCACGACTGAATGAAAAAATGGATTTGGTAGCAATATGATCTGTTAAACAAGCGTTTCTTTATCTCTATATATTGATATAATAATAATCGTTAATAATGATTACAGCATTGTTCATATACAACTCCAAAGGAGATGTTCTTATGTCCAAGTTGTATAATGAAGGAGTAAAGAGAAACATATCTGATGTATTTAGAATTCAAGTGATGTCAGTGAATTCTCAACATTATTCTAACGGAGGAAATGGCGGGAGAGAAGTTCGTTCACCCGTGTTAACGTTGGGATCGACGTCGTTTATTTATATAAAGTCGGGATTGTTATGGATATGTGCCGTGACAAGATCGAATCAAGATTGTTCAGCAATTTTGGAGTTCCTATACAAGCTCGAGTCATTATTGAAGGTAATGTTAGATGAAACCCCAGGGGAGAAAGTGTTGACAGAAGACTTAATTGTGAATAATTTCAGTTTAGTATACGAATTATTAGATGAGGTTGTTGAATTTGGATACCCAACTAACTTAGAGTTGAGTTATTTACAGAACCTCTTGACATCGGTATCAGCGAATGATAAGATATTCAAATTATCGAATAATGCCTTGGCAGGAGCCAAGTCACTGAATTCAGGGTTATCAAGGCGTAAGACAGTTAAACTTAACTCCCTGAACATTACGTGGAGAAACCCTGACATTAAATATAGGCGAAATGAAATCTTTTTGAATGTTGAAGAGAAGATTAATGTCTTGATGAATGCACAAGCAGAAGTGCTAAAAGCATATGTTGATGGGAAAATACTAATGAAAACACATTTATCAGGAATGCCCGAATGTAGATTTGGGTTGAATGATGACAGCTTGGTGTTGAATTCGATGAGTGCCGACCGGTCCGCCATACCTCATAGTGGATCTGTAACATTGGAAGATTGTAAATTCCATCAATCAGTCGAGTTGAACAAATTTGATTCTGATAGAGTTATACAGTTTATACCACCAGATGGCGAATTCCAGTTAATGTCATATAACTGCATGCTGAACATCAATTTACCCTTTGAAGTCTATCCCCAGGTCCACCAGCTAGGTAACCTGCGATTACTGTACAAATTAAGAATTAAATCTTTATTTCCATCTAAAATTCCTGCAACAGGCGTGCAGATAAAGATACCAACCCCAAAGGGTGTTATCAATTCGTATTCGACCAATTCGCTGGGAAAATCGAAGTACCATCCAGAAGAAAACTACATAATATGGAAATTTAACAAATTCTTTGGCAATCAGGAACACGATTTGACTGCAGAGGTAGAGGTGCCCCATTCGAGTGATGCAGACATCAAAAATTTACTAAACTGGACCAGACCACCTATTAAGTTGGAGTTCACCATCGATATGTTTTCGTGCTCAGGCTTGACTGTCAAGTTCTTAAGAGTGCAGGAGAAATCTAACTATAGGACTGTTAAATGGGTCAAATACACATCTCAATCAGGCTCTTATGACATTCGTTATTAGAGTTTATATCATTGTATGATAGCTACTTGATGTAGAGTGCTGCTTTCGCAATTCTACTGGATGCACGTTCCTCAGCGAAATTTTGTCATCAGGATAATTTTTTAGACATAAATAGCAGATTATATTAAACAATCATATTCATTTCAGAATAGTAAATAGCATAACATGAGAGACCTTTTTGTATTGGGAGGGTCATCACATCCAAATTTAACGCGATCTATTTGTCGTAATTTAACTATTGATCAAGCATTTGTTGATTCGAAAAAATTTTCCAATGGAGAGATTAGTATTGAAATCCAGAACTCAGTTAGAGAAAAGGATGTTTTTATCATACAATCGGGATGTGGACATGTAAATGACAACTTTATTGAGTTGTTGATTATGATAGCTGCATGTAAGACGGCAAGTGCCAAGAGAGTTACAGCAGTTTTACCGTTATTCCCATATTCAAGACAGCCTGATGTTCCCCATGCAGCATCGCTCACAGGAGCACCTTCTGTAAGCACTAAGAAGGACCAGTATACGTTTGAAAGTGCACCTAGTACCCCTCGACCATTATCAAGAGGTGAATTGGAAACAGAAGGCCAGGTTTCACCTACACCTTCATCAGGAAACAGCTCGCAACAGACAGAAACTCTCTTGAGTAAGGCTACGATGAATAATATCAAGCAGCCAGTTCCTACGAGGATCAATACGAAGATCCCTTCGTACACACCTACATCAATTGTGACTAATTCAGCAGCTACAAATTTGCCTAACGTGGATGTGTACGGGAAGACCGAGAGTGGTTACAAGCAATGGATTGCGCAAAACGGTACATTGATTGCCAACTTATTAACTACTGCTGGGGCTGACCGCTGCATTACTATGGATTTACATGATCCTCAATTTCAAGGTTTCTTTAACATTCCTGTGGATAATCTCTACTCCAAGCCATTGTTAAAGCATTACATTATAGACTACATCCCTAATTATGAGGATTGTGTTATTGTTTCGCCAGACAGTGGAGGAGCCAAGAGAGCCACTTCTATTGCTGATGCACTTGGATGTTCGTTTGCGTTAATTCACAAGGAGAGAAGGGCCAAGGTCGCTAATACACCTCCATCCACCAATGCTACGAATATTGGTGCAAATTCGGCGCACAATCCTTTGGTGGCCACAACCATGTTGGTTGGTGATGTTAAGGACCGTGTTTGTGTGTTGGTGGATGATTTAGTTGATTCATCCTACACTATCACGAGGGCTGCTAAGTTATTAAAGGACCAAGGAGCCAAATACGTGTATGCTCTCGTTACCCACGGAATTTTCAGTGGAGATGCCATCAACAGAGTCAACAAGTCTGCAGTGGACAAGTTTATTGTCACCAACTCTGTTCCTCAAGCCCACAACATAGGCGTGTTAGGTGACAAGCTCGAAGTGTTGGACATCTCAAGGATATTGGCCGAATCGATCAGAAGAATCCATAACGGTGAATCCGTTTCAATGCTTTTCGACCACGGATGGTAGTTCGCATCCTTATCCATGTATATTAACCCATAACGTATATACCTAATGTAAACAATCGTAATATATTTAATGCACTACTCAACCTCCATATAGCCTGTGTGGAGCGATGTTTCTCTATCCTACCCTGCTGTCTCCGTATGAACAACAGCATCCCATCCGGAGCATAATTGCAAATGTAGTAGAAAGCAGCAATTTTTTCCGCACATCCACACACCGCATCCATACATGCGATGACCCATAACCACAATAACCACCCCAGACTTTCACACCTCCCCAGCTCCAAATAAGCCCCAAATTTAAATCACTGAAAACTTCTGCCTCCGATCACTCATAACGCACCTCCAGTCCGTGTTTACACCTCAAATGCCTATTCCCTGCCCTTTGTCCGCCTTTAATGCCTCATACCCCAGAAAATGCCAAAAATAAATGCCAATCTGTGCCAAATTAATGCCCATCGGTCACCAAATACAAAACCCGTATTGGTACATGTTTCGGTTCGCGCCATCCACGCCAACTGCTTCCATAAATAATGCCCCATTTCTGTCATTGTTCGCTCGCCACTTCTGGCCCAACACTCCGTATACATTCTTCTCCCTATCCGTATACTGTATGGTCATGTATGGGGTCAACGGCGATGCAAATGCCTATTTCTGTGTATGGTAATTGCACCATATTAGTTCCGGGACTATTTTCGACTGTTTCTTTCTGTCCTTTAGAGTAATGCCGCTAATATAATTCCACGTCGCTTGTATATACTCTCTCCGCCAACAAGCACTCTCGCCCAATAGGAGCGGAATCCACAGTCAGTGGTACAGAAATACATGGCGAGAATCGAGTAGATCGGAGGACTTCGGAGTGGTGCCGAAGGTCTCTTGGCCGACTAAGCGATTTTCGAGTGAACCGGATACCGCCTGTTGAATATAGTACCGCATCACACGAGCATCATAGTTAGATAGGTCGGAAATAATTGGTGGTAACCCCCGAACGGCACATATCGTTTACCGCTAAAACCCCCCTCAAAGAACCCTCGGAAATTGCCATTAGCAGTCAGACCCCCAGGAGTTGCGAATATATAAAGTCAGTTATATTTCCTACTAAATGTTCTCTTTCTTTATCAGGTTCAATTATAGATATAATTGACATAGATTTGTTATAGAAGATAGTTATAACATACACAACATGACAGGTGATTTGAATATACAAAATTTGTCGTTGGAGGCTACTAACTCCAATAATTCGTCGGTACAGAGCTTAAAACACGGATATATCGACAGTCCATTTTCGGGTAAAAAAGATCAATATGAACAGGTTTTGGATGTCTTAGACAGTACGGGATTTATTCCAGAGTCGTTGATCGAGCTGGAGGCTAGATGGTTTTATGAAAGTTTAGGGATCGATGACGTTTTCTTTGCCCGCGAGTCGGCGCAAGGCATCGCTAACCACATCCACTCGTTGTATTCATGTAAGGTGCAGGCGTTTGCAACAGACAGCTGCGACCAGCCCTTGATTCACTACAAGAGAGAAGCAGAAGACCACGCTGTGTTTTTTGACACATTTAGTGCCAATGACTACACACGTAACCGGTTCGAAGAGAGGATCGATGACAAGTACATAGATCCATCGAGCCACTTGGGCACTAGTTACAGAGGCGAGTACTTCAGTGCGCCATTGAACTACAAGCAGGATGCGATCTTGTCAGGGGTTTTCGAGAAGAATGCTGACTTGCACAACCAGTTTGTTAGATGTTACTTTATCTACAAGAACAACTACCAACATGCGGAAGTGTCGACAGACGAAACCGATTTGGATAAGATCGGTGACAAGACCTTCTTGAAGATTGCTTCGGCAAAGACTAAGGAGCTCTATTCCGAGATAATCAAGAATGTTATCTCCAACACCGGGCCCGTGATCAAGTACTTCCCAATTGAAGAGCTGGAAGAATATAGAGTGGTTATTGGGTTCAGACAGAAGACTTCTGCCAGATACAACTCGGCATTGAGTGATTTGGTTAACTATTACAAGTTACAAACCACCAGAAAGTACATCGAACAATTTTCTAACGGCGTTACTATTGTGTCGATGTACCTCACTTCCAAACACAACAAGACACCTGTTGACTTATCGATCTACCAAGTCATCAAGGAAGCATCTTTGTTGTATTGTATTCCTCACAATTACTTCCATGATAGATTTATTTCGGGCGAATTATCTTTGCAAGAAAGTATCTATGCACAGTGTGGGGTTATCTTCGTAACCCATTTCTTGAATAGATTGGGTCCAGAATATAACAAATTGACTTCATTGTTAGATCCTGCCAAGTCAACTAACCACGCTGAAGTCTTGAATTCATTGAAGAAACGTTTAAGGTCAGAGACTTTCACCCAGAACTACATCCAAGAAATTTTTGACACCAAGCGTGACATCGTTAGAAAGTTGTACCGTCAATTTGCTGATGTCCACTACATCCGCTCTTCCATGGAAAAGACCTTGTCTTACCAAAGGTTATCTCAAATAACTCCAGTCGGTACCGAACAAGAATTCGAAGAGTTGTTGAATCGTGAGTGTTCCCAAAACGAGCACCATATCATGGTCTTGAAGGCTTTGTTCGTTTTTAACAATTCTATATTGAAGACAAATTTCTATACTTCTACCAAGGTTGCAATCTCGTTCAGATTGAATCCTACGTTCTTACCAGTCACTGAATACCCAGATAAGCCTTTCGGTATGTTCTTCATTGTAGGTAGTGACTTCAGAGGTTTCCATATCAGATTCAGAGATGTGGCTAGAGGTGGTATCAGAATCGTGAAATCCAGATCCGTCGATGCTTACAACACTAATGCTAGAAACTTATTTGATGAGAACTATAACTTGGCAAATACTCAACAAAGAAAGAACAAAGATATCCCAGAAGGTGGTTCTAAAGGTGTTATTCTTTTGGACCCAGGCGTGGCTCAAGAAAGACCAAGAGCTTGCTTTGAAAAGTATATTGATTCATTAATTGATTTGTTATTAAAGCAACATATTCCAGGTGTTAAAGACTCCTACATTGACTTATATAATAAGCAAGAGATTTTGTTCTTAGGTCCTGATGAAGGTACCGCCCAGTACGTAGACTGGGCTACTTTGCACGCCAAGGCAAGAGGTGCACCATGGTGGAAATCTTTCTTGACCGGTAAGAATCCTAAACTTGGGGGTATTCCTCATGATGAATATGGTATGACCAGTTTGTCGGTTAGAGCTTACGTGAATAAGATCTATGAAAAGTTGAATATCGATGATGCCAAAATCAGAAAGTTCCAAACTGGTGGTCCAGATGGTGATCTTGGTAGTAATGAAATTTTATTATCCAGAAATGAGATTTATGTCGGTCTTGTTGATGGTTCTGGAGTTATCGCAGATCCAAATGGTCTTGATAAGCAAGAATTGATCAGATTGGCCAAGGAAAGAAAGATGATCTCTAATTATGATAAGTCTAAATTATCTCCAGCAGGCTATGTTGTTTTAGTTGATGATGTCAATGTTAAATTACCAAATGGAATTACTGTTCCTAACGGTGTTACCTTCAGAAATACCTTCCATTTAAAGCTTAAGGAAGCATTTGGTAATGACAAGGTTGACTTGTTCGTTCCATGTGGTGGTAGACCAGCTGCAATTGACACCAATAATGTACACGAATTAATCGATCAAAAGACTGGTAAGTGTATTGTGCCTTACTTTGTTGAAGGTGCTAACTTGTTCGTTACCCAAGCAGCCAAGTTATCTTTAGAAAAAGCTGGATGTGTCATCTTTAAAGACGCTTCTACTAATAAAGGTGGTGTCACTTCGTCGTCCTTAGAAGTCTTGGCATCCTTATCTTTCGATGACAAAGGATTTTTATCCAATATGTGCATTGATTCACAAACCGGAGCCACCCCTCAGTTCTACCAAGAATATGTCAAGGAAGCTCAAAATATCATTGTTTCTAACGCCCAAAATGAATTTGAAGCTTTATGGAAGTTGAAATCAGAAACTGGCTTAACTTTCACCGAGTTGTCAGACAAATTGTCCGTCTCCATTAACAAATTGAGTGACGAATTAGCTAATTCTAAGGAATTATGGAATGATGATCAAGACTTCAGAAATGCAGTCTTGCTTGATTCATTACCTCGCTTATTATTACAAGAAATTGGTATTGATAATATCTTGTCTAGGGTTCCAGAATCCTACTTGAAAGCATTATTTGCTACCCATTTAGCATCCTCATTTGTTTATTCAAGAGGTATTGACTCCAACCCAGCAAAGTTTTTGGAATTCATTTCTTCTATTAGAAAGGAATACGTCCACAAAAAAATTCTTTAAACTCAGATAGATAAAGGTGATGTATATGTCATCTATCTAAGTACGTAGATTTTATGTTTTAAAAGTTTTAGAATCCTACAACTAATTAATAATAATATATTTAATACAAGATAAGTAATATTTTCTATACCCACTTATTGTAATATTGTAGCCTACTACATTCTAAGATAAGCTAGATTGTCTAACTGTTCATTTTCAAGAAAGCTTGGTACATTTATAGGCCAATAAAAGCGAACCCCACCAATCAAATCAAAGACAAAATTGATAAATTGTTGTATTACATCTTTATACGATACACCCTCTCCACATATTTACATTAACATAAGCTGATATACAATCCGAAGCATGAAAAACTTCAAAATGTATATGCTAAACCAAATGACTTTCGGTTCTCTTATTTGGGTACATTGGCTTCCTCTTTCAATTTGTTCAGTGCAATCTCTCTTTGCTTAACTTCATCATTGACTCTTCCTGTAACATAATCACCAATTAATGCAAAGGCAAATGTAGACCCACCAATATAATACCTTACTTTTATCGGTAAACTATTCCATCTTGAAAATAATCCCATCTTTCAATGAAGAGTCCAGGAAGAGAATAATAATTCAAAATGAACATATCGCATTAATTGAAATCAAATAATTTTTTTTATAGAGCACACTGCATTCATTATGTCCATACAAAATTCCAAAAGATTAGGCTTAGTGAAAACCGAATTGCCACCTTGTTGTGTCAGAATTTGCCCGTCTGATAATTCAGTTATTATCTTGGGAACTTATAAGCTAGAGGATGATAGGACAAGACATGGATCAATTGACGTGTATGAGTATGATGAGCATAACGGTAATGAGTTAAGAATTTCAAACCAGTATAAAGTAGGAGGTGCTGTATTAGACTTGAAATTCCATAGCAAGAATGATTCGATATTAATATCAGCTCATTCGACTGGTAACTTAATATTTTGGAAAGTGGATGCTGCAAATAGGACCTTATCTGAGTTGAAAAATTATCAAGTATTTGACAAAGAGACTTTAATAACGTCTATTTTTTGTTCACCAATAGACGAAAACCTATTATTAGCTACTGCAACAACCGGGGAGTCGGCATTGGTTAATATTTCAGATTACTCGATGCAATTATTAGACACTGTTCATGATCTTGAATGTTGGACCGGGTCATTTGGTGAGATTGGCGAGTTAGCGCAAGTTGTGTTCACAGGTGGTGACGATGCAAAATTGATAGCTCATGATTTGAGAACCAAAGAGAGTATTTGGGCCACAGGACACCGCCATCATGGTGCAGGCGTAGTTTCAATTCTTTCACCTGGTCCAAATTGGAATAATCAGAACAGTAATCATTTATGGACTGGGTCGTATGATGATAGTTTACGTATCCTAGATTTGCGAGTTATAGACAAAGGGAATCCCCTGTTAATCCCAGGATATATTCCAAAAGTGATACAGGAAGAAAATTTAGGAGGCGGGGTTTGGAGATTAATACCCAGTCCATTACCAAATGATAATAGAGTTATGTCTTGTTGTATGTATGATGGTGCTAGAATAATAGAATCAGAAAACGGCAAATTTGAAGTTAATAGATATTTCAAAAAAGACCATGAGAGTATGTGCTACGGTGGAGATTGGTCCAGTAGTGGCAAGTTTATAGCCACATCTTCGTTTTACGATAATGTAGTTCAAATATGGTCCCCGGATGAGACAGAATAAATAGAACTTATATATTTGACATAAAACCTAATTATGAATATAAACTTAAATCTAATGGAACAGATGTGCCTCTTCCACTAGGATATAACTTAGTATGATTGCCATTTTCTCCATATCTTCTTGGGTGTGGAATAGAAGATGCATTTGTAAATTTAAACCTTTTTCCAGTATCCTCAATTACGATTTTAGACGATGAACTGCCAGCTTTGCCATTTCTATTTTGGGAAGTATTAATAGTGTAGGTCAGCGCAGATATCTTTCTTAAATTTTCCCCAGCATTTTGCTGCAGATCTGTCGTAGAACTTTTGCCTGACGGAGGAGGAGGGGGAGGAGGTGTTTTCTTCGCTTTGGAGGGTGCGTTTGGAGCAGGCAACGTTGGGGGTACTGAATTTGGTAATGAAGGTGTACTTGGTGCTGACGATGGAGGTAATGGAGGCGCCAGTGACACAGGCGGCGTAGGCAGCTGGAAGCTCTTTGGAGTTGGAGGTGGCCTGCTTGGGTTAAAAACAGGTGTTGGAGGAATGGATGGTGGAGTAGGTGGAATTGCGAGTGGGTTTTGCGAATTCGCTGGTTGTTGGCGCATTGATACAGATGAAGATCTATTCGAACTTTCATCAATAACATTGTTATCATCTCTTTTGGAGTTAATGTCAGCAAGGAAAGGTAAAGAACCCTGAGATGGTGCAGGAGGTTTTGAGTTAGATGCCGATGAGCTAGATAGGCTAGGAGCAGCAGGTGGTGCAGGTGGTGCAGGGGGAGCGGATGGAACAGGCGGTGGTGCATTATTTTTAGGAATAGGTGGTGCTTTTGGTGCTGGTGGATGCGATATAGGCTTAGGTGGTGCCGAAGCATTTGGTGCCGGCTTTGCAATGCTTGAAGACCCACTATTTCTTGCAGCACTCGAAGATGATGGAATAGAATCAATTACATACGATTCGTCTCTTTTCGCGTTAATTTCTGCCAAGAATGGTAACCCTCCACCACTAGGAGGAGCTGGTGCCTGCGACAGTGCCTTTGAGCCTGAAGACTTTTGAGATGCAGCTGATAAGTTTGGCATGGGAGGTGGAGGTGGCGCACCTGAAGACTTCTGAGATGCTGATAAGTTTGGCATGGGAGGTGGTGGTGGAGCACCTGAAGAAGGCACTGGCGGAGGTGTAGGAGCAGATGATGTTGGAAGCGGTGGAGGAGGAGGAGCAGATGATGTTGGTAGTGGTGGTGGTGGTGGAGCAGATGATGCTGGAAGAGGTGGAGGTGCCGGAGATGTAGGAGCAGATGAGGTTGATTTGTCATCTTCAAAGGAACTAATCGAGTTCACAGAATTTGATTTCAAATGTGACGATTTCTTTGGTCTGTTTGGTGGCATTTTAGGTGGTACTTTTAAGCCAGGTCTCGAGCCAGAGTCCGAAACATTCAATACAGGTGGTGGAGGGGGAGCAGAAGGAACTGGTGGAGCTGAAACGGATGGTATCGATGGTACCGATGGCTTCTGTTCGGCATGTCTGCTAGGCCTTGAAGATGGCATAGGTGGAGCTACTTGCGGCATGTTGACTTGTGGCCGGGATTTTGGCACCAGCGGAGACGCACCAGAAGGCATTGGGATCTTCGGTGCAGATGGTGGTACTATTCCTGACCTATTATCATGCTTATTCACAGATTTCAATTTTGGCATTCCTCCTGCAAAGATATCTCCCAATTGAGGAACTCCACTAGGAGGCGAAACTGGAGCTGCACCATGCGATCCAGAAGAAGATGGCGCCGGACCTGGCACCCCAATGGATCTCGAAGACTTAGAATCCAAAATTGGTTTTGATTTATCAACGGTCGTTGCTTTCTTCAACTTTGTACCTTTTCTAATATCACCGAGCAAAGCATTCCTGCCAGCTGGCATAACGGGAGGTGGGCCAGGTGGTAAATTTGACGACCCTCCAAGCGCAGGGGGTGGAGGTGGAGGTGGAGGGGGAGGACCAGCCATGTTGTCTTTAATTTATCAATACAATTGAACGTATCTAACAATAAATAGAAAAGAATGGTTACATACGTAGAGGGATGATTTATGTTGAGAGCTCCATAAAGTCACGTGTATGATTAAAGCTAAACTATTCTATTACTTTTGATATAAATATATATAATCGATACCCAGATGGCTATTTAACGCCCCAGGTTAAGTTATCAAAGCCCAATAACCAAGGGCCCAAGGTGTGTCTGACGAAAATCATGATGATTCCAATTAAAAATTGAAGTGTCATGAGCAAAATGCATAATTTATCCTCTCTTAAAGGACCAAACCAGACAAGACATAAGTTGATGATTGTCATGTTGGAAAACTTTGTGGCCTTAGTGGTACGCTCCACCTTGATGAGCTTGAAGGTTTCTAGCACCGCCAAAAAATATTTTTGGAGCTTTGAGACAGTTTTCACCTCCCCGAAGCTTGGATACATAAGACCGTCATCGATGTTGAATCGAGGCATCCTGTGACGTGGACATGGAACAATGCCCAATATTTGGGGAGCAGAGTATACGAAGTTTATGATTTGCGGTAATAAGAATATCAACAAAGTCTTTGAAAAATGGCCCAATATACCGACGATTGCAAAAACCATACCACTGAAATAACAATAGGTGTCCCCTACGAATACCCTTGCTGGAAACCAGTTGTACTGAAACAAAGCTAACGACGTGCCAACAAAAGGAATTAAAAATATGGCCGAAAATAGATGGGAGTCGTAAGCAGCTGCTGATATGTCAGTTGAAAAAAGGTAGCAGAAATCATTAATAAGAAAAATAAATGCAAGAACTATGGACTGTCCCACTTCAAGGCCATTGATACCAGCAAGTATATTGATTGAGTTTGGTGAAAAGATCGAAATCGCCGACATGTAGACGTAGTAGAAAACTCCTAAATCAAGCAATTTTGGAGATCCAGTAGGCAATACATAATCGGTGTCTAACGTACGGAAAGATAACCCAGTAACATATGTAACAATATTATTGCCTGTCTGTATTAAAGCATTCAACGATTCAAGCAAAAACTCACCCCCAGGTAATCTGTTAGTGACAAAGCTTGGAACAACGATAGACGTGACACTAAAATCAACATAATAGACGATCAATAATGGCATAGATGCAACAGCGGGAAGAAAAAACTTGTGGCGCCATCTAATATCAAACAAGTCATCAAACAACCCCAAGAGGGTCGTACTTTGTAAACACAATACGGCACTCAAGTACTCGGCCAATTTGTTATGTGGAAACAAATGATTATTCGAAAGCGCCAGATACTGGTCCTTGTAATTATTGGACATATCTGCATCGTCTGACATTGACGTGAAACTCACCAAGTATTTGAAGAAAATAAATGGAATCAACCAGAACATGAGGAACAAGTACGTCACGGCACATACAACCCCCATAGACTCAGCAATTTCCTCCACTGGAGGGGGTTTGGAAAGATCCTTGCCCTTTAGCCCTATTCTAATGAAGCTACTCATGAGCTTAGGTATCAAAGATGCTGTTATTACATATCCAATGCAAGCAAATGCAAACAGCGTCTGTAATGGTTTATTTGGGGTGATACATGCGATGGAAAGTACCAATAGTGATACCTTGATTATTCGACCGAGAGACATGTCTGTTGCGTAATACTTACTGCATTGACTAATACAATAACTTTATCGATTAATTGTATTTAATTAGTAGAAAAAGGCCTAAAAATTGACAAGTTTGACTTAACCATACTCCTGTACAATTCGCACTAACTGGGTATTATCAATTTCATGATATTGATATTATCATTTTGTAATTCTAAAGATACTATCGTAATAGAAGAAGATATAACATGAAGCCATTTATAACAGGGCATGAGGAGTTGATTCATGACATAAAGTACGATTTTTATGGTAAACATATTGCAACATGCTCATCAGACCAACATATTAAAGTGTTCGACTTGGACTCGTCAACATCGACATGGGTACTAAACGACCTGTGGAAAGCCCACGATTCTCTGATAGTGAAACTTTCGTGGGCACATCCGGAATTTTCTAGCAGTAAGATACTTGCATCATGCTCATATGATCGGACAGTGAAGATTTGGCAAGAACAACCAGAAGAATTGCATGGGTCTGGTCGAAGATGGATAAAATTGGCCACATTGGCTATTGAGTCGTATGGACCTATCTACGATGTGGTGTTTGCACCTAACCATTTAGGGTTGAAATTGGGATGTGTGGGACTGGACGGGATATTTCGAATTTATGAATCATTAGACCCATCTGATTTGACTAACTGGGTTCTTACAACTGAAATACCAATACTAAGCGATCTGTTGCCAGCGAAGAGTTTGCAGAGTAGTTTTGGTATAGAATGGTGTCCTGCTAAGTTTACCAAGACGGAGAAGTTCATAATTGTGGCATTGGACCAGGGGTTTATATATGGCACGGCTACCAATAATCAGATGCATGATGATGAATCATTGGGGGATTTTGGGTCCGATGCAGATCAGAGTTCTATAAGTAGCCATTCAAATAGTAAAGTTACGAAACTATGTGATTTACCTGAACATAATGGGTTGATAAGATCAGTAAGTTGGGCCCCATCAATGGGTCGTAATTATCACTTAATTGCTACGGGTTGTAAAGATGGATATGTGAGGATATTTAAGGCTGTAGAGTCGGCCAATGGTGAATTGAAAATAGAGACATTGGCAAAATTGAATGACCATAAGCTGGAGGTGTGGCGAGTTAACTGGAATTTGACTGGAACAATTTTAAGTTCAGCGGGCGACGATGGGAAGATCCGATTATGGAAATGTAATTATCTAAACGAGTGGAAATGTATGAGTGTCATCAGTAGTAGTAACAGACTGACCAATAGGGAAGTACAAGAAGAACCATTGGGCAAAGCCGTTGCTACGAATACAAGAATAAATTAAGTCTTTTTTATGACTAAATATTAATCTACATAACGAAAATATACACTAATTAAATTCTTCTCTTCTTCTTTTCAATTTTAGTTTTGTTATTTTCTTCTAATTGGTTCCATAATTCTTCTTCGTCACTTTCATTTTCTTCTTCAAGTGCTTTTCTCCTCCTCTTTTCAAGGTTCTTTCTACGTTTGTCTCCCATTTCAGACTCATCTTCTTCCTCTTCTTCATCTTCGCTATCCAACATCAACACATCTGAGACTTGTACACCAAGGTAAACCTTTGCGAATATGTCCCTGCTATTAATATCGTAAACTCTAAGGTATCTATCCAATCCCCCGGTTGAAATTATTTGATCGAAGATATCAACTCCAACAATTGCCCCAGTATTACCTCCAGCAGCGAATTTCCCCATAAGCTTAGTAACTGGTTTAATTATTTCTCCAGCAGAAGCAGAATGTGTTTTAAATGCTTTAGAATCAATTTGCGTCAAAGAATATTTGGCAACTAAATTATGCGTATCGGATATGATGATTTCTTCTTCTGAATCGGCGAAATTTAAAGTGACTATTGGCTTCTCGCAAACTTTAAAGTCATGTATAGGCCTTTTTCCATGAGTTGTATCATAAATACGTATTTGGCCATATCTTGTTGAAGTCACGAATTTATAACCGTCCTTAGGTTTTTCTTCAAAAAAGCGAATTTTACTTATCCATATTGGTGGTCTTAAATCAAGATGATCATTTTTAACATTTCTTGCAGTGAATAAAACTTCAGCCTTAAAAAATTCTTGCTTGTTTCCTGATTCGAAAATTTCTTTAGAGATTTCTCCTTTGAATAATCTAATAACTCTGGCATCATTTTCTTTACCACCACAAGCGAAAATTCCAGCCTCATGAGGATTATTTATAAATGCACTAATCCCCTTTTTACCAGGTAATTCTATCTCTATTGGATCTAAGTCAAAGAGACCATTGTTTAAGTTGATGAAAAATACTTTACCACTTTCAAATGCTACGACAACGACATCGAACTCTTCGAGTTCAATCAACGAGATCGGCTTGTCTTCGTTGGAAATAGGCAATTGGTATGTGTGTATCAATTCATATTCTTCGTGATTCAAGTCGTAGATCGTTACTGAACCCCCCAATCTTGAAGTTACCAAAAATGTTGATTTGAAATTTACCATATGTAAGATTCTAGTTCTGACCGATGCCCCAGGTTCAGAACAAATATTCTTAATTGACTTTGGTTGTCTAGCATCTTGCTTTGAAGTATCGGTTCCCCTAGAACATATCACTTCTTTGACTGCTCCGGTATCGTCTGATGTCACTAAGATTTTCATTATGCCACTACTTCTCCCAAATGAATATTGCATCCATTTGTATAGAAGAGATTTTTTCAAAAATATAATCTCTATACTCATCTCGACACAAAAATAAAATAGATGTTAGAATTATATAAGTCTCAAAATTCTATAAATCAGAAATC